CTAATTAACCTTGGATATTCTTCAGTAGTTGTTCCTCTGAAACGTAGATCCTCTCAAGGGTTTTTCCTATCTTCTTTTCCCACAAAGACACAAGATCGTTGAATGAATAGGTGTTGAGAGGAGGTCTGATATAAAGGATTTTGTTCAAGGTTCTTGGATCATCTACAGCATTGATAGTGTATGTGGCAATATCATCTTCCTTGTTGAAAACAGCTGTGGATCACAACATGAAGAAGCCGTTAAGGGGAGTTTCAATTAACATCCTAATGAAGAAGTTCATGTATGACCTGATGGATTTGAAAAGTAGAACATCATAAGCTAATCACACTATTTAGTATTTACTTACATTTGGGATTTCCATCCCCTAAAATGACAACTTTATCTCTTGGGGGCGCTGTAGCTCCAAGTTGAGAGAGAGTTGTGAGGTAATAGCCAGCAAAAGAGTTGGAGGACACATAGGTGTATGGAATACCAGCAGCCTCAACAGCTCGGCGGATTTTTGCTTTGATCTCAAACCCTGACTTTGCTGGCTCAACAGCATGTACACGGTCCACATCATTTCCAAATTCTGAAGGAAAGAACCTCTGAATACATATGTCGAAAACCATGACCACTATTTCTTACGAGTTTATCCAAATTTAGAATCAAAAGAAGTAGAATCAAAGATTGAAAGAGCAGTACCTTAACATTTCCGACTTCTTTAATTGCAGCAATGATCTTGTCCTGATCGGGTAACTGATTTTCACTTACTAATGATATCACCACATCCACCTGCTTTATGCCCTTCACCAAGCTTTCATGATCATAAAGATCTCCCTGCATAACAAAACCAACAGAATTTTTCTCATCATCATAAAGAATGAGAAAATGGCAGAAAAAAAGGAAAAGAGTGAAGAATCCATGATATTGATTACGCACAATCAAAAAATTGACTCCTAAGTTCTTGAAGTTTTGGATTATGTTGGATTTTGCAGGGTTAGAGAGGGTGGCCTCTCTGACGAGAATAGTGGTAGGGTGACCGGCTTTAGCAGCGGCCTCCACTATGAATTTTCCAAGGTAGCCAGTGCCGCCGATCACCAGAACCTTGCTTTTTTCCGACATTGCGCAACGTAGCAGCGACCACCAAAGCAGGGGAAGAGAATTCTGGGGAATGGAATGGGGATGCAGAGCGAACGCTAGAAAATGTGGACGGCAGTGGTGAGTGGTGACGCAGTTTAAGAAGGATAAGAATATAATTGCAACCGTACAGGTTAAGACTGTCTTTGAATTTTTCTAATGTGTGTCTTATGTAAGATAAATGTAATTAATATATTTTTTTATATTAATTTGTATTTAAAAATAAAAGTTAAATGAGAACTCTTGGTAAAGCAATTGATAGCTCCAGCATAGGAGTATTCATAGATATTGAGTTCGAGGTCATCTCCTTCCCTTTTCCTTGGGCTGGTTTCCCAGCTCTTTGGTAACTTGATAAAAACAAAATAATAATAAATAAAAGTTAAATTCTATGTAATTAACAATCCAATAAGAATAATATAAATGACATTTATGTGAAGTTAAAGCCAATTTTTTGTACTTCTCTGTATAATTTAATGTTAAAAAAATACATTAATTATACATTTTAAAGAAAAGTATAAGTCATTATCTTTTAAATTTTTTTAATAAAAATATTTAAATAATTTTAATAATTTTTTTATATTAATTCATTAATAATATTTAAATAATTTTAATATTTTAATAATTAAAATGTCTTAATTTTCTATAATTTATTTTTTTATATAATTTAATTTAATGTTAAAAAAATGCGTTAATTGTACATTTTAGAGAAACACCTTCCTTTTTAGATGATCGCGTGAAGGATGAATACCAAAAAATGGCGGAAGGAAATGACACAGCATTGCAATATACTACAGAATTAAGGCTTCTTATGTGTTTTGGGTTACTTTTTTACCTATAATATTTTATGTATTAATTTATTTGATAATATATTATATTTATTTAATATTATATTATAATTATAAATTTATAATTATTTGTGTATTATAACTACAACATTGTTGGAATTAAAATGAAAAGTTAGGTAATCTTACATACATTTAAGGGGTTTATTCCTTATCTTATTAATTAAAATTTAAATCAATAAAAGAAAGTAATAATTCTTTATGAATCTACTAATTTTAACATAAATAGTCTACTTTTTATTGAATCAAGAAGGAATTAATTTAGCTTTTTTTTTAAATGTTAGGTGTGGAATTTAAATCCCACACTTTCAAATCAAGGTATGAGAAATCATTTTATAAAGATGAGATAATTACTAAACTATAAAAACATTTTCAGATACATTTATTTTAATTATTAGTTCTTTTAATCCAGTCAATAGTGGAGTAACACATTTTGATTGTTGAATGAACATACATATAAGACCATACATTGAATCAGTGTATTCATTTTTTTTTTTAATATGCCATTGAAATATTAGATATGTTATAGAAAAAAAAGAGTAGGTGTATTCAATCATATTATTAGGACCATACATTGTATATTACTTGGCAGCCTAATAACTAGGAGTATTCAATCATTTTATTATTATTATTATTTTATGAGGAAGGGAGTAGTAAGTAGAAGTATTGAATTATTAGTATTAATTAAGCAATCTGTTGCTTGTTAGTTTGGAGCAATTGCAACAAACCAAGAGAATCAGACAAACTTCCATTTTCTGGCTATGGTCTATAATTAACCAAATGCAGTTCAGACTTTTATTATTGGACATTGTAGTAGCTGACTGCCATCTTACAGAACATACAGAAATCACACAAGCAAAGGAAATATGATTGTACTGTAGCACACACTAGAGACCTGAGCCAATAGGCCCAATACCACTCAATTTGTTAAGATGACAAAGCTTAATTAATGCACAAGCATCACACAAACCGGTCAAGGTACTCATCCACAGTAGTGTATTTAACATCAGGGTAGAGCTCTGAAGCCTCAACTCCAAATGACGGTTCAATCTCAAAGTTGGTGTGATCTCCCTTCACAAACACTGAGTGTTTAATTGCTAGCATCACACTAAGAGGGACAGCTGATTCTGCAACAAGTGAAAAAGGTGAATTCCAGACCAGTCAATTAACACAATCTCACATCCAATTCCAAAAAGTTTTGGCAAAACAGAGAAATTGGGCTAGCTAACCAATTACCTTGGATGTTCTTCAGCAGTTGTTCCTCTGAAACATAGATCCTCTCAAGGGTCTTGCCTATCTTCTTTTCCCACAAAGACACAAGATCGTTGAATGAATATGTGTTGAGAGGAGGTCTGATATAAAGGATTTTGTCCAAGGTTCTAGGATCATCTACTGCTTTGATAGTGTATGTGGCAATATCGTCTTCCTTGTTGAAAACAACTGTGAATCACAACATGAAGCCGTTATGGGGAGTTTTAATTAACACCCTAATGAAGAAGTTCGTGTATGACCTGATGGAACTGAAAAGTTAAAACATCAGAAGCTAATTACACTATTTATTTACCTTTGGGATTTCCATCCCCTACAACGACAACTTTATCTCTTGGGGGAGCTGTAGCTCCAGATTGTGAGAAAGTCGTGAGGGAAAAGCCGGCAAAAAAGTTGGAGGACACATAGGTGTATGGAATACCCGCAGCCTCAACAGCTCGTCGGATTTTTGCTTTGGTCCCAAGTGCTGATTTTGCTGGCTCAACAACATGCACACGGTCCACATCATTTCCAAATTCTGAAGGAAAGAACCTCTGCATATATATGTAGAAAACCATGACCATTAATTCTTAGAAATAGACTGTTGTGCATTCAAGACTATACTGAACGGTTCAAGCATAATTCTTGGATAGAGGTGAGCTCTTTGAAATTGGGGCTCTCCTCCATCTAATGCCCCTGTTTTACAGTCTAGACTGTAAAATAGGGGACTCTAATTCTTATGAGTTTATTCAAAGGAAAAAATTGTTTTGCAGTTCAGATTATACTATATTGCAAAACATGAATTCTTAGATAAGAAGCTCGTGATTAGAGATTAGAGGCCTAAAAACCCTTTCCATTCAAGGCTCCCTGTTTTACGATTGCAAAATAACGTACCCTCATCCAAATATATTGCTAATTTAGAATAAAAAATACTGTGGAATCAAAGATTGAAAGAGCAATACCTTAACATTTCCTGCTTCTTTAATTGCAGCAATGATCTTGTCCTGATCGGCTAACTGACCGTGACCTACTGTTGATATCACCACATCCACCTGCTTTATGCCCTTCACCAAGCTCTCATGATCATAAAGATCTCCCTGCATAACCCAGAAGAAAAAAAAAAACAAACAAACAAATGAAAAATGGCAGCAAAAAAAAGAAAAGAATGAAGAATCTATGATATCGATTACGCACAATAAAAAAATTAACTCCCAAGTTTTTGAAGTTTTGGATTATGTTGGATTTTGCGGGGTTAGAGAGAGTGGCCTCTCTGACAAGAAGAGTGGTAGGGTGACCGGCTTTAGCAGCAGCCTCCACTATATATTTTCCGATGCGGCCAGTGCCGCCAATCACCAGAATCTTGCTTTTTCCCGACATTGCGTAACGTAGTAGCGACTATCAAGACGGAGAGAGTGGGATGCAGAGTGACCACTTAAAAAAAGGTGGGAGGCAATATTTTTTCTAAAGAAATGTTCAAAATTCAAAGGGAAGTCAGTATTAGTGAAATAAATAGATTTGTTCAAGATAGGATGTGGCTGAGTAATGAATTAGGTGTGCATGTGACATGAGGAGCCAGTAGAAATAGAGTGGAAGGTAAGAAGGTTAGTAATCTTGCAATTATTTAAGGCACGAGGTGTGGTAGGAACTCTCTTTATTACCTTTTTTTTTTATTTTTTTTTTACATTTTTTATGTGATACTTTTTATATAATTTCGGTAAGGTGAAATACAAGTTTAATATGAGTATTGATTAGTGATTGATATTAAAATTGGAATTTTTTAAATTATAATTAATTATAATAAATTTATATCATGTGTTTAAATTAAATAAAAATGATCTAAAAAAGATGTAAACAAAATTAAAATGGAAAGTGTTCTTTAACATTCCTCTAAG